ATATCGTTGTTGATACTGATTTCGTTTGCTTGTTAACAGCCCAAATGTCTTATTATTCAAATTGACTGATTAAATGTAAGAATTTGACTCAAAAGATGATGCACACTTTTAGAAAAAATGGCTTTATAAAGGTAAAAATGCCCATAAATGGTAAAAATCGATTTAAACTTATTGGAAAAGATAAATTTCTGTCACTGCTGTGAACTGACCACCACACAGAATATGAAGAATATCAAAAAGTAGTCCTAAAGATACCAGCACAAAAACACAATCGTCTAATTATCATTATCGATAAAATCCCAGAAAATATTGAGATATCATTTTTTGTCAGTATCGCACCACCCCACGATCTAGTTTGTATTTAGTTTTATTTCCGTTTTAGTTATTTTAGTACATCAAATTAAACTAAATGAAAATGAGAAATGTTACTCTGGCAAGAAGATGAAATAAAATGAATGTGTTTTTTAGTTTTTAATATTTCAGTTAACGTTTATTTTGTTTCAATGTGATTATTATTATTGTTTTAGTTAACTATAATAACCCTCCATCACTCAGACTGTCTATGTTGAAATCTGACTGATTTAACTGAAATACTATAGAGTTTGCTTGCACAAATCAAGTGTTTTCTCCTCTCTCTAAAAGTTATTTTCACTATTTATAAACTTAGTCTATTCATTTTACTCTTAACTTCAGTATTCACAATTATATGGTTTGTTGCAATTTATTATTTGCGTAGTCATAAGAGTTGAGAACCGCTATATGTTATGCCATATCTTCAAAGCGTTACAGATGTAAGGTTTCTGGAGATTGAGTGTTCATCATAATACAGTTCATTCAGATGAAGCCAAAGTGTGTTTTTTCGTGCATTTATCATTAACGGCCCTGAACTTTTAATGAACAGAGCTACAGATGCACACGTCACAGGGTGTTAAACATTCTCCTCTCTAATAAGAGGATCCTGAATTGGAGATTAAAATCAGAATGTTTGATCTGATTTAGTTTTTTTCCAGATTGAGGTTTTCTAGGCAGCAGCTGTGATCATGACGTCACTAAAGCCAGTGTACTGCTTCTGTGTATCCACATGAGGGCAGTGTGTCCCTTCTAGCATACTGTACAGAAATGCTCAATGCAGAGCATCTATACCAACATCCAAAATATTAGCCTTTGTACTGAAATATAAATGGAGCATTACACCATTTTACCTGCCATGTAGAAAAAGCATTTTGCCATAAAAAAGCAAGAGGTTTTAATTATAATAAATGCGTATTATTTAACGTGCATCTCTTTCTGGTGTACGTTATGTGCTTATGCGATATCCCATTTTGGTGTTCACATCAAATTAAATTCACAAAAGTGATTTTATATACACTACCAGTTGAACCGTAAGATTTTTTATGTTTTTTTTTTAAAGAATTCTCTTCTGCTCACCAAGCCTGCATTTATTTGATCTAAAGTACAGCAAAAGAAGTAATATTGAGAAATATTTTACTATTTTAAACAGCTGTTTTCTATGTGAATATCTGTTAAACTGTAATTTATTTCTGTGATCAAAGCTGAGTTTTCAGCATCATTACTCCAGTCTTCAGTGTCACATGATC